GCGTTCTGGGAGGCCTAGGCATGTCTAGTAGGTTGGGCACTCCCCAGGTAGGTGCTAGGAAGAAAATTACAACATAAGATTCTCATGAGGAGACCGAACTATGCTCAAAGATGAATTAGCAGCCAAGTGTTTGATTAGCGGTACGGAAAATGCACATGGCCAATGGACGTGAGTTTTGGCTGAGGATGATCATATACTAAGAATAATTTCTTCACAAATTTTCAGCTCAAAAGGAGGATCCTAGGTGGTACTTGCTTTGCAAAGTACCACACTGGACATAAATACGAATGTTGAAGCTGGGCTCAAAATAATGAATGGATTGAGCTGAAATTTGGTGGAGGATGGTTATTTGGGCATAGGAAAGCACTATAGAAAATGGATACCATTTGGACATTCCAAAGTGGTACTTCCTTCACAATGCTCTTCTCTGGACAGAAACTTCAGAAAATTAGTGAGAGAAATTGGCTAAATGAAATGAGCTCAAATTTGGTGTAGGTAAGTTACATAGGCATATAGAATATGTGGAAAAAATCAACTCATTAGGATATGCATAGCTAGTACTTCTTTCACAAAGGTTCTAGGTGGACAAAAACCTTGGAAATTTGCCAAGGAAGATTTACTGGGCAAATGGAGCTGAATTTTGTCATGAGGCAATGATTTGGATAGGAAAGAGTGCCCAAAAGTTTTGAGGGCAACCAAGAATATATAAATAGCACTTCCTTCACAATGCTCTTCTCTGCACAGAAACTTTGGAAACTTAATGAGAGAAATTGGCTAAATGAACTGAGCTCAAATTTGGTGTAGTTAAGTTACATAGGCATATAGAATATGTGGCAAAAATTCAACTCATTAGGATATGCATTTTCTTTCACAGGTTCTAGGTGGACAAAAATTTGGAAATTTGCCGAGGAAGATTTACTGGGGAAATGGAGCTGAATTTTGTCATGAGGTAATGATTTGGATAGGAAATAGTGCCCAAAAATTTTGAGGGCAATCAAGAATATATAAATAGCATTTCCTTCACAAAGCGTTTTTCTGAACAGAATAGGAAAATGAATATTTCTGAATTATTTTTTAACTAGGCAAGGAAGGTTTTTTACATATTTGACGAAGATATGACCCAAAGAATTTATGAGATTTTTTTGGGAATTTTGGGAATGACAGAAATATAGGTTGCTTCACAACCTAGGGCAGAAACTAACACATGGACATGACACATAGGCAAAACTGATGAGGTGGAGCCTAGTCATAGGAACCCACCACAATTTACAAGGTTATGACCATCTATATTGGTCATGATCAGCTAGAAATAAGGCAGCGGACCAGTGCTATCTGCTTTATGACCACTTCGTGTATGAAAATTACGACCTTTCTGACCAAAATGGTCATTATAGTTTAGGGTTTGGAGCCCCCGAACAGCTTTTGACCAATTGGCCTCAAATGGTCATAGATCTCTGACCAATTCTTCCAGGGTCACTGACAGAAGGTCACTCGTTGACATATTTCTTGTAGTGTCACTAGGGAGAAGCAAGCTGACACTAGATTAATTGTCGTGAATCTTTTACCTCGAGACACATCAAGAGCACACCTAATGGAAATGATTGAGAACTAGGATGGGGTCGAAATGCATTTTCGACGCGTTTGGTTCAGGTCAGGTAATGTTTTCAAATTTGTAATCAAAATACAGTGTATTAGGCTGGGGATTGGCTGAATACGTGATGTGTTCGGTACGATGAAGGGTTGGTTTCCCATACCAGATCTTCAGAAAAGAAGCGAGGAGAAGGGAGAGGCCCGGCCGGCATGCCTGCTTGCGACGAAGAAGGACGGGGATGGGGAGAGCTCCGCTACCAGCATGGCTACTAGCGACGGAGAAGGGGGAGATCCGGCTAGAGTTGTTGCTCGCGAGAAGAAGGAGGGCCGGCTGGAGCTGCTGCTCGTGGTGGGGATGGGGGATGTTCGGCCGGCGTCGCTTCTCATGGTGGGGAGGGGAGGGAAGGGGAGGGCGGGGCGGAGTTCGGCCGGCGCCACTGCTCGCGGCAAAGAAGGGAGCCGTCAAAGAGAGAGAATCCTGCTGGAGGCGACAGGCGAGGTTGGGGGCGAGCGGAAAAGGAGATCAGGCATTTTTGGTTCCCACAAGGTATACCCCGTTTTGGGCTTTATGAACCGGTGTATCGGATTACACGGCGATTGAAATGGGCCCAGCCGTGCCAAATGCTGGTAACGTCTTTGCTAAGCGGTGTAATCGGGAGACGGTGGAAAACTGTCAAACCAAACACGTCGTTTATTCTTAGTATTAAAAAAAGTATTGCATAATCTCAGCCACTTCACATCAGAAATACCATGGATTTGTTCATTGCAAGCAAGCAAGCATTCCCCTCGATGATTCCTGACCACACAACCAATGCCCATCCGTCAAGAGGAAGTAAAAAGTGCAACATTGACATCGAGAGCGACCTTACGTGCAAGTGGTGTAGACTAGGTAGTTTTTTAACACGGTACAATTATAGATTCCCATGTGAAGCACATACACTCACCCCTATGAACTACCGCACACACGCCCTACCACGTTGACCAAGTTACTGAAGAATAAGACACATGCCCAAAAGCTTGTCCAGTCTTCAAACAGTTATGCACCACTCATGTGGTATGCCATGGAACCTTTTCTTTTAGCCTGAGAGGAGGCAACTTATTGATGGAACACGTTTTCTTTGAAGTCTAGAGAAATACAATTTTGTTAAAAAATTAGTCAGCTAATATATTTTCTAAAGTTTTCATTGTTGGGTTCCACTATCAAGAACACAATGGGACAAATATTATACAACGGTGCAAAAAAGCCAAAAAATCTTAAGTTCCAAAATATTAATAGATTTCTAAAAAGTGCAATGGACGGTAGAAAGAATGCATAATTGCGAGATGCTGCAGGCCTGGAGAGACCGGAAGTTCTCTCTCTCTGTGTGTGTGTGTGTGTGTGTGTGTGTGTGTGTGTGTGTGAAAAGCTTCAAAATCTATTATAAAGGTTCACTAGAAGTACAAAGCACCCCTGGCATATTAAAAATTTCATCGGAGTCTTTAGACCACCGAACGACCACTGCCACCACCAGAACAAGCCGCCAACACGCCGCTGTCACCGCTTCCCTACCAGAGTTGGCATGACCTTGTCGATGACAGTCAGGAAGTTTTTGTGCACATACCCTTAAGGACCAGCGTCCTGGAGCCATCGTCACTATTGAACCCTTTAATCGATCTGAAGCATCTGACACCATATGGCACCGTCACGAATGCGGGGCAAGAAACCATAATCTCACCGCCCCGAGGAGATGGTGGGAATCTACGTTGGAGTTCCATCGAATCTGTTCTGATGGACAAACTCCATTCCGTTTTATGACGGTTATTATATCAACCGACCCGATATGTCACTGTGCTAGAGTTGCTGTTATGATAGTAATTTTCCTTTCCGAGAATCCCAGCATGACACTAAGGGCAAGATCAACCAGTAGCAAGGTACATCCAGATATTCTCGTGAAAAAAAGAAGGTACATCCAATATGAAGGTAACGCCCACTGAATCTCTTCTGCATCAGACGACAACACACATCGCTTCCTCCAGGGCGATCAGGGGGCCAACCCCATCGCCCTGGCCGTCGCCCCCTCCCCTTTCTCCTCCACCGCATCGTCCCAGAGACGTGTGCCGGCTAAGCCAAGTGCCACCGGTGATGGGGACGACGGGGATCTAGGCTGCAGCCCCGCGGTTTGTAGGGACTTGCGGCGCGGGATCGCCCTTTGATCTTCGCCCTTCGATCTCTAGCGGCTTCGTGGGGAGGACGGATCAGGAGGGGGATGTGGCCATGGGTGACTGGTCGGCGGCGCCTCCGGTCAGATCTGATCTGGCCAATGCCGCTGGCGGTGGTGGCCATCTCTTCCGTCAGAGGTGGTCGGCCCGAGGCTGGATGGTCAGATCTCGAGATACGCCATCTAGTTTCGGCTGCGAGTCGAGAAGACATAGTTGCCGGTGTAAACCAAGACGATTGCAGGCGATGGCGGTGTTCTGTGTCGTTACCTTGATGAAGGCATCGTCGTGTAATTACTGTCGACCCACTCGTGCTGCTCCGGGGGAAACCCTAGAATCTGGTCTTCCAGATCGGACGATGATGGTACTGCAGTGTCGTTTTCTCTCTTGGGAGCATCATTTGTGGAGCAAAGCTGGAATACAGAGGCAGGAGGTGGAGCGGCTTCGTATTGCACGGAGCTTTCGGTGGAGATGTCAAGTCATGCTTGGCCGATAGGTGCTACGCTGTGTCATGCCTGGTCGGCAGGTGCTACGCACAACAGATCTTCCAGAATCTTCGCGTCTGGACGGACGAGCGCGTGGTGGTGGCACCGTGGTGGCATTGACGGATGGACGGACTGGCAAGGATTATGCAGATCTCTCTCTTGAAGATGGGTCAGCGGTTCGATGATGATGGCGGCGTCTAAAACGTGTGCATGTGGTGTATGCTTTTGGTCTGCTGCACCGGCTGTGGGTTTCGATACGTTATGTGGATGGTCGGCGATGGCACCGGTTTTAGATATGGGGAATGAGAACACTCCACTATCAACTTATGTAAGTGTGACTGGTGGCTTCGGGTGGCTGTGAGTATGTTCTTGTTAGAGCTATGTTGAATAATAAATAAAGATGGCTGTATGCATCGATTGACGCGGAGTTCTTAACCTTCTGTTTAAAAAAAACAGACGACAACACTCGCTCGCCATTAAAAAAAGGCTAATTACTTTAGCCTGCATGCAAAGGATCCCCATGACGCCTCTGTTCTTTCTATCATCGCTCGTCCGGATCCCTCGGAGCTCATCTTTGCACTAGCTAGGAATCAATCAGCCCGCATCTGCACCCCTAATTGGCAACTACTCTTTATCTAATCGAACTCGAATCACGATCCCCGTCTATCTATATAAACAGAACCAGAGGTTTACCAGCAATGGCGAAGCTAGATTACCCTGACGAAATTCATGGCGGCGCCTGGCCTTCACGGCTTACCGGTGGTGCTAGTCGTCGTCGCGACGGTTCTTGGCTCATTTTGGATCAGACTCGCCGCCTCGCAGCAGCAGGGAGAGGAAGCTGCCGGCGAGGAGGCGGAGAGGCAGAGGTACAACTTCAGGTTCGTGCGGCACGCGCGGGACGCGCCGCTGGTGTCCCACTACAACTACATCGTGGTCGGCGGCGGCACGGCGGGCTGCCCGCTGGCGGCGACGCTGTCAGAGCGCTCGCGCGTGCTCCTCCTCGAGCGCGGCGGCTACCCGTACGGCAACCGCAACGTGTCCAGCGAGTACCACTTCGCGGACGCGCTGGCGGACACGTCGCCCCGGTCGCCGGCGCAGCGGTTCGTGTCGGAGGACGGCGTCGTCAACGCCCGCGCGCGCGTGCTCGGCGGCGGGAGCTGCCTCAACGCCGGCTTCTACACGCGCGCCAGCAGCGAGTACGTGCGCGCCGCCGGGTGGGACGCGCGCCTGGTGAACGCGTCGTACCGGTGGGTGGAGCGCGAGCTGGTGTTCCGCCCGGACGTGCCGCGCTGGCAGTGCGCGCTCCGCGAGGGCCTCCTCCAGGCCGGCGTCACCCCGGACAACGGCTACACCGTCGACCACGTCCCCGGCACCAAGATCGGTGGCACCATCTTCGACAGCGCCGGCCGCCGCCACACCGCCGCCGACTTCCTCCGCAGCGCCAACCCCAGGCGCCTCACCGTGTTCCTGCACGCCACCGTGTCGCAGATCCTCTTCCGGCGCAGAGGTGCGCACATGCAGTGCACGCCATGCCCCATGCATGTACGTATGCAAGTCGATATTGGTCTGAGCCACATTTAAATGCAGAGGGGTCGGCGAGCCCGGTGGCGTACGGGGTGGTGTTCACGGACCCGATGGGGGTGCAGCACCGCGTGTACCTGCGGGGCGTGGGGAGGAGCGAGGTGATCCTGGCGGCAGGGACGCTGGGGAGCCCGCAGCTGCTGATGCTGAGCGGCGTCGGCCCGCGCGCGCACCTGGAGAAACACGGCGTCCGCGCCGTGGTGGACCGCCCCATGGTCGGGCAGGGCGTGGCCGACAACCCCATGAACTCGGTGTTCGTCCCGTCCCCCGTCCCCGTCGCGCTCTCCCTGGTCCAGGTCGTCGGCGTCACCCGCTTCGGCAGCTTCATCGAGGGCGTCAGCGGCTCCCAGTTCGGCATCCCCCTCCACTCCCGCCGCCGCGGCCACTCCTTCGGCATGTTCTCCCCCATGGTATTGACTATTGACCGACACCTTCTCCATACTAACTCCAAACGTGGCAATGGCAATGCCATCGATGCCTCGACGGTGCCCTTAATTAACTAGTACGTGTGCGTGAATGACCGATAACAGACGGGGCAGCTGGGGACGCTGCCGCCGAGGGAGAGGACGCCGGAGGCGATGAGGCGGGCGGCGGAGGTGATGCAGGGGCTGGACCGGCGGGCGTTCCGGGGCGGCTTCATCCTGGAGAAGATCCTGGGGCCGCTCTCGACGGGGCACGTGGAGCTGCGGTCGACGGACCCGCACGCCAACCCGGCGGTGACCTTCAACTACTTCCGGGACCCGAGGGACGTGGAGCGGTGCGTGGGCGGGATCCAGACCATCGAGCGGGTGGTGCGGTCGCGGGCCTTCTCCCGCTTCACCTACGCGAACGCGAGCGCCATGGACGCCGCCTTCGACTGCGCCCGGCTGGCCAAGTTCCTCAACCTGCTGCCCCGGCACCCCCGGGACACGCGCCCGCTGCAGCAGTACTGCCGGGACACCGTCATGACCATCTGGCACTACCACGGCGGCTGCCACGTCGGGCCCGTCGTCGACCCGGACTACCGCGTCATCGGCGTCGCCGGCCTCCGCGTCGTCGACAGCTCCACCTTCAAGTACTCCCCCGGCACCAACCCGCAGGCCACCGTCATGATGCTCGGCAGGTCGGACTTGTGCTTCAACTCTTCTTCTCCTGCATCCGATTTACTCCCACGAAATTCAAATATGTGTGTCGACGTACGTTTCCTGATCATTTTTTGCATGTGTTTGGATGATGAAACTGGGTCCAACAGGTACATGGGGCTCAAGATTCAGGAGGAGGGGTGGAGACCAGGACGACCCAGAGATTAAGCATATGCACTCCATCCGTTGATCCATTCATTCATGCTTCCTTCGTGCCGTGGTGGGTGGACCCTGCGGCTTGGGAGATGCATGGGATTTCTTGTTTATTTCTTCTAGGGATTGTTTTGTGGACTGGTTACATACACATTGTTGTTTGTTACATGTAATGTAAGCGTTTGCTGAGATAAAATTGCACGTTCGACGCAACATTTGTGAGATCAAACACTTTGCATCCATCGTTTGTGCGATGAAAACACTTTGCATTGATCCTTTTTATAGGGCAACTGTGCATCGATCGTTATTAACTCCAAAAAGGAAAATATTGTACCTCGAAACACACAAGGTGCATCAAATTTGAAATTCACAAACGTTATTATCTCCTCGTGCCCTAGTTGTGGTGATGCTTTATTCCGAGAGTTCACTTCATTTCAAGAGTTCACACTTCACAAACGTTATTATCTCCCCATGCCCTAGTTGTGGCGATGCTTTATTCCATGAGTTCACTTCCTTCCAAGAGTTCACACTTCACAAACGTTATTATGTCCCCGTGCCCTAGTTGTGGCAATGCTTTATTCCATGAGTTCACTTCCTTCCGAGAGTTCAAAACTTCACAAACATTATTATCTCCCCGTGCCTTATTGTGGCGATGCTTTACCGGGCTACGCCTCGGAACTAGATCTATGGTTTCTCTGCATGTTCGGTGCAATTGTTCTTGCGGGTTGAGAATATTTGTCCTTGCAGGACCGGCCTTTTCGATCTGTTTAGTTTTTGTCAGTGTGTCTTAGTGCTTTTGTTAGTTTGATTTTTTGTTGAACTAGAATCTTTCCTTGGCTCTACAGTGAAGACCTTGTGGTTCGACAATTTGCACTTCTAGGGGATCATCCCGTCCCAAGTTCATTCACAGTTGAAGGCTTCCCATATTAATAGGTGGGCGACTAAAGGGGCTCTCTAAAACCTCTACCGGTGTAGTGCCTTTCTTGATGCCTTGGTAGAATTCCGCCTTCCAAAATTTATTACCATATAGAAGGTGTATGTGAGAGGCTTTATTGAAATTCTTAGTTTTGGAAGTTACTTTCTAATTTTTGGGATCTTTGATCCAAGCATTGTGTGTGTACATTCATAAGGGTGAGTGTATGCGCGTGTATATGAGCGCTTGCGTCTATACTGTGTTCAAAAAAAAGTTGGCACGTTTGAAAAAAAGTTATAGATATCTTTAAAAAAAAGGGAAGTGAGCCAACCCAAAAAGAGAGCCTATGTGGGCTTGATAAAGGTGAGATATTACACACGCACACACACACAATTTCTTGCCCACGAGGCTATTTCATAAAGAGCTCCTATTGGATGCCCGCATGCGTCCAATAGTCGAGCTTTCGCTGAAGAGGCGTGCAAACGGGTCGGCCCATTCGCAGACGTCTAGCAAATTTATATTTCACGAAAAATAAAATAATACATGTGGGGAGTCGAATTGCCGACCTCACACTGGTCAGCAGCGTCACTTACCAGTCGAGATGGCGACTAAGGTGTCGTAAAACGCAGCGCTAAAGTTAAAGTACATTTTTTTAAAGATTATCAATGTTTCTTTGAAAACATGCGACCATTTTTTCTTAGATAATACGAATAATGTATGAAAATTGTGAACAAATTTTGAAATACAAACAAACTTCAAAACGTGAACAATTGTCAAAAATTAAAATAAATAAAAACATAACTAATTATTCTAAAAGTGAAACAAAATTTTCAAATTCTGAACATTTATAATTTACATATGCTTAATTTTTTAAATATACATTGAACACTATACGTTGAACAATTTTCAAATACACATTGAATAGTTTTCTGATATACACTGAACAATTTTTAATCCACATTGAACATTTTTATGATATATGCTGAACAGTACTTAAGTACACAATGAATTTGTTTTTAAATATGTTGAACATTTTATGAATATATGTTGAACAATTTCTTAAATATATTATTTATATTTTTTAATACACGATGAAATCTTATATAATACAAAAAAATGGAAAAAGAAAAATACATAAGAAACACAGATTGTTTATCATGTTAATGAAAAAACAAAAAATACACAATGGAATAGTTTCTTAATGTATTAATCAAAAAGGGGGGAAATAAATGGAAAACCAGAAAGAAAAATTTAAAATTAAACAATGTAAAAACAGAAAAGATAAAAGGAAACAAAAAAGCAACAGAAGAAACGAACGAAAAAAACGAAGCAGCGAACTCGCTGCCGCGAATTGGGCTGGCGAATCACAGGCCCTGAGGCCGAGCCACTGCTGTTTGCCGCCGGCGGGCGACAAATAGAATCTCCCTGTTTTCACCCGTTACGAGTCGTAACTCGGTCTTTCCTATGGGCTCAATGGCGTGGGCCAGCCCTGTACTCTAGTGCCTTTGGCTAGACTATCTATTTTCTCTATGTTGTCATTATTGGATTTTTCATTTTTTGTTCTTTCTTTACCGTTTTTTTCTGCTTTTCTTCACCGTGCTCCATCCTTTTTTTGTCTTTTTTTAAGATATGTCTAATTTTTTCAATACGGATCGTACATTTTTTGTATACGTGTGGAACATCCTTTTGATACACATTGAACATTTTTCATATACATAATGTACTTTTTTTCGGAAATACTTGCTTCGAAAGAAAATGCATATGAAATATTATTTTAAACTATGGGATTTATTTCATATACACGATGTACCTATCCTCCCCTCTTGGCTTCCTCGTTGACGTTGTTAGAGGAGGCATGCTGATGAATCATGTGCAGTAGGTGGGAACAACGGGGTTTCTCGGGGCCATAATAGTGATTGAAGCAACAATGTGAAGGTGTGGCATGGCGCCCTTGTTCTAGATCCAATGCAGAGAAACATGTGCATGATAGACAAAGAACCGAGCCGCTCTCTTCCGCCCTTCCTTCTTGGTGTCGTTGTTGTCAGTGATTGTCAACTTGTCATAGTGGCGATGGGGCTACTATGTGAGACCTTTTGTGGCGGCACATGGGTTCATGGGAACTGCAGTTTGTGGCCTTGGCAGCCGAAATGGGCCGTTTCGAGGCGGTGCGTCTTAACATAAATATGCCTGAGTGTGCTGGATGCGGCTCCCCGCTTCCTAGTGGTATGGGCATTAGGCTGGTCATAGTGGGGAGTAACTTAGACTAGTAACATACATATGTTACTAGTGTATGTTACTACCTTCATAGTGGGTAGTGTCATAGGTGTGGTAACATAGTTGCCTTCATTTATTACTTTGTAGACTCATTATGCATTGGAAACCGCTATGTGATGGTAACATATTATGTTACTCTATTTGCCTCTCTCCTCATTAACTACTTGCCACATCATCATTTTTGCTTATGTGGCATCTATGTTACTACCTATGTTACTCCCACTATGACCAGCCTTAGCGTGGTGGCCTCAAGACTAGTGAGCCAAGGGTTGTTTTCATGTCGGAAGCCAGTAGCATTGATGTATAGATGCCGTATATTCGTTGATTGTATTGGTTAGAAGCTTCCTAATAATAACCTGAAGTTTGACCTTGTGGTTAGACCCGAGGTATGCCCATGATAAATTATTATTTTCTGGCGGTGTTGTCTTTGGGTACCACACTCATTCTTAAATTCCAAGTTTGTTTTGCTCGTACTTTTTTTCTATATGGTTCGTAGGTTTGCCACGGACTTTTAGGGATGCCGGCGGTCGTGACATTGGTCTCTAGTTTCTTTCTTAATTTCGTATACCGATTTAATCAGCATTGATAAATGGCAATTTTTAAATAAAATTATGGTTTTATGTGTAAATTGCACGAGGGAGTCAAATGCCTGGTTTCATACAAAACCGCCGGCTAGGAGAGCAACCTCTAGTCTAGTACTCTAGTCCCGTCGAACCCAATAGACAATAATATTTGATTTATGTTTGCCGTGGCGGCTGTTGCTTTTCTCCCGTTCCCGCTGGGGAAAGGAAATCAGCATTCAGACGTCAGCGGTAGGAATTAACAACAACTTTTGACTTTGAAGTAGACCGACATTCTTTATTTTCGTTGATGTTGCTACTTGCTAGTTACTACTAGTAAGGCTGGTCGTAATGGTAGTATCATAGCTAGTATCATGCATGCCAACTAAGCTATTTTGATCAGGTGTCATAGTATTAAATGAAGAAAGAGAAGGTGTAGTATCATATCATGATACCGTATCATATTAAATGCTATGCAATTTTGTGTCATGCATGACAATAAATAGAATACTATATGATACTATGATACTAGTATATGATACTCCCCATTACAACCAGCCTAACACTGTTTTGGCGCAGCCACGGCTGCGACTTGGGCGTGGAAGCAGCCACCATGGCGCGCGACGCCCGACGGCGACTGTGTCTTCGTCGCCGCCGACCGGTCCCTTTCCGAACCCCGGTCATCCATGTTAACGGGGCGGCGATCAATCAACCTGATCGGGGGAACGAGGGCGAATTGATGGGGTGTGCACGCGAATTCATGGGTGTTGCCGTTCGTTCCCGTGCTTGGACCACGCCTCGCTCCCCTGCCGACGGAGACACCTCGCGGCCTACCGGATTAAATCCGCCGGGGATGCACCCCGCCGGCAACCAACCAACCGCCAACCAGCTCGCGTCCCCGCTACCTGTAGCTGCTTCCCATGCTGCCTCCATGCGGCGGCACTGCAGCACGCCGTGCCGGAGAGGACGCGCTGGTCCCCGGCCGGCTCGACAGACGCGTGCCACGACGCTCCAGTTCACTACAGTCTCCATGTCTGGATGTCTGATCGATGCTTCTTTTCTGCAGCAATGTCTGATCGATCTTGATCGTTCCTCGTCGTGGAATGTCCGGACGAGTTACTCAGCCGGGCAGTACAATCGTACAAGTGGGTGGGCGTTCTAGGAACGTCTCCGGACCAATACAGTGGCACCAAATGCGTACTCGTCTCAACATACTGTATCATTAGTGCATTTTCAACCTGCACCTCTAAAACGAGCACGCTATTTGT